AATGCTATCATTGTCGCTGGAACGAACTACTTGACGGAGGGAGGCAAGAGCTACACTATCTCTTGCTGTATCATTCACCCTGATTACGAAGATTGGCATTATGAAGATATCGCACTGCTCCGCATGGAAAAAGCCATCGAATACAATGATTTTGTCCAGCCAATTGCATTACCCCAAGAGGACATCACAGATTTCACAGTTACTGCTGATTTCGCCGGATGGGGCCGAACGGAGGTATTTTTGTTGAGGCTCATTAAACTGAGTAATGAAAATGCAATGACTTTTACAGAATCATGGATCCATTCCCAATGAACTCCACGAGATACAATTGAAGATTATCTCTTATGAGAAGTGCAAGAAACTTCGTCGTGAGATTACGGAGGAGCACATCTGCACGTTTACTGAACTTGGCCGTGGAACTTGTCAAGTAGGTGGATTTATATCGGTGTGAATAAAATTATAAGAAGAATTACTATAGGAGAGAATGTTGTTACTATTAATTACTACGAGTCGATTTTTTTAAAAGGAATGTTTATTATTCTAATTCTTCCATTATTTCAATTATTTAGGGGGACTCTGGTGGCCCTTTAACTGTCAATGGAGAACAGGTGGGTATAACTTCCTATTCCACAAGGTTCTGTGCCATAGGTTTTCCCGATGTTTTCACCAAGGTCTGGGCGTACACCGATTGGATTGAGGAGGTTCAAGAGAAAAATGCAACTAATGAGTGTCATCTATGAAATTAATAAACTCAATGTGAACTCATGAAGATCCTTTCCTATTTCCTATTGACTTAAAAAAATATGTAGCAATGGGGAATAATCGAACGTGAAACTTTTATTGTCCTCTAAATGCGTGGAGATTCTAGGTTTTGTGTACAAAATAAATAAAAATAAACGACACTCTGTAGTGCTTGTCAGTTTGGACACATGAATGGTTTATTATACATTAGATGTAAAAAAGGTAAACTTGACATTGCGACCTTAAAAGAGGCATCCTTGGTGAGATTAAGTGGTTGAGGACACTTTTAGTGGACATGGACTCGATTACGTGTGGCCTAAATTTCTGACGCCATTACTGCTGTTTTAATTTAATGGAAAGTGTGGAAATAATGACACCGGTGAGTCTTACAGAGTCGAATAAAATCCTGCGAGACAATTAAAGCCGCCGGATAAAGAGGGAAGACTATCTTTCATTTTTCTTATATTCTTTACAATTATTCAATGACTCACAAGTTTTCATATAGTCGTGCCTCCATTTTTCTAGATACTTCATGAATTTTCGCAAAAGTTCATTAAGAACGTAGGAAAATTCTTTCGAATTAGAAAACTGGAGATAAATTGTAATTCTTCATTTCGATTTACAGTACATTATCTAAAATTAGGGGATTAACGTATTTTTTATAATAAATAACATACATCTCAAGTGCGGGTGAGATATAATCATCGGCCGATTATTCCTTCTTATCAATAGAGGACGATGAAGAGGTTGATTTGCTATCAGTCCTCGGGTTATTGTACTATATAAGTTCTATTTTTTTACCAGCGGCATTATAATATCTCCAGCTATGATTTCTGTTGGAATAATTTTGAGTGTTCTCGTTGTCCTCGCCAATGGTCAGTAGCGATGGAGTTCCTTTTTTACAATATCGTATACGGAATTTTATAAATAAATTATAAATCACCTTGACTTGTATGTTCTACGGATCAAAAATCTCTGAATTCTTGCAGGCGCAAGTCTAAATAAAAATGACGCAGTAAAAATCACACATCCTTATCAGGTGTCTTTTCGAGAATGGGTCCGTCCAGACCCTAAGGACGAATACGTTCACATCTGCAGTGGTGCAATCATTAACAAGAACTGGATCCTTTCTACTGCTTCATGTTTTGAGGAGTGAGTGCAAAACAATCTATTTTAAAATCTGCAATGGAAAAAAAAATCCTCGGATAAACTCGAGGAGTCATTCGTTACCGAATATCATGATATAATGATTACTGATTTCACGTGATTTCACAATTATTTCAAGTCATTTCTTAAAATACTTAATTTTAAATGACAGTTATTTTAAAGATTTCTTCCCTCGATTCGATGATTTTAAATGGTTTCATGGAATTTTATTTCGAAGTGATACAATGACTTCGCTAATGAATAAAAAATCATATCAACATCTAAAGTAATGGTAATTATTTTGTCATTACAATAGTATGGCATGAAAACTACCACTGGAGCTGTATTCAAATTAAAATGGAGGAGAATATCCCGCGACAGGCCCGGAATTAAAATATTTCTAAAACAAGAATTTCGAGCAATCTTTTTTATGTATCGATAACCAGTTATTGTTATTATTTCCGTCTTCTAACCTGGTTAATAAAAC